TTTCGGCGTACCTTTGGGTGGCGTACTCGTGGACAATCTTCACAAGATAGGAGCGGAGATCGACAACCGCTACCCCGTCGTCCGTCAACGGAGCTGGTACTGTAGTGTGCAAATAGGAGCGTAAATCCGCCATCAAGGCGTTGCAATGGGGCCTTGGCAAGGTTCCGGTCGAGGGTAGAGGCATCCAAGCGAAGTCCTCTCTCGTGAGCGGGTCAAGCTCCTCAAGTCTTGACCACGCCGTCGAGTCCTCGGAAATCAGTGGCGAACTGACCGGATCACTTGCCGACGGTGTACAGGCTGTGCATACGCTAGCTAAGTGCACGTGGCTYGGCTGGTCTAATGGTGGTACCAACTGGGCGGCATAATCCTCGTACATAGCACGAGAATCAGGGACTAACGCATGCTCCCCAGTAGTGACATCGATTGCTAGCAAGGCAACCGGGTCCGGCGGAATGAGGAGAGACGTCGCCCCTCTCCTTGCGTAACTCAGTTTCCCGAGTTTGCTGGACGGAGTATGCGTGCCTTGCCCTTTTCGGGGCATTGTGCAGTCAAGTGTGTGACTCCATTGCACCAAAGGCAATATCTGTACTTCTGACGAAGTTCGTAGACTTCCTTTGTGATGTTGTAGGCCGTCCATGGCTGCTGCCCAGTTCCCGTCGTTGCCGTCTCTTGTGTCGCCTTGGGTTTCCGGACCCTCTTAGGACGCTTCGGCGGGAGCGCTGCTACAATTCCTCCACTCGAGGATGCTGCTGCAGCGTGGAGATTGTCTGTTCCTTCATAAATTACGGCATTGTTATGTGCCGGACGTTGATAGCTTTGCTTAGCCACATAATGCGGCTGGGATTGTCTCTCGTTAGCGGCCTTGTCGTCCGTTTGGATGACCAGGTTTGCGCGATCCAGGATAGCCTGGAACGAGGTATAGTCGTACTCATTACTGAGTGCTGACCGCAATCCTGCGCACGGTCGCGAGAAGAACTCGGATCGTTGATTTGGAAAAGTCAAATCGAAGCCTGACGTGGTCACTATCTTCTGCCACTTGGTTGTCCAGTCTCAAGTTGGCATACTTCCTTGAGAGTAGGTGTACACCTCGTTCATGGCCGCCTTCACGACGTTGCGGACCATGAACCGGGTGAACCATAGCTGCTCGAACTCCTTCCACGTGATGTGCGTGTGAAGTTCGGCGATGGTGCATGTGTGGGTAGCCGCCAAGTGGTTCATCCATGCTTGCGCTCCTCCAATCAGCTGTAAGTATAGCGCCTTCATCATGTAGTCGTCTGGGACAGTGCGGCAGGATGCTTCCGTAAGGAAACGTTGCCACCATGCCAAGGCGTCCGTCTTGTTGTGGTCGTTGAACTTGCTGATGTCGAAGTGTGGCATCTTATAGCTCTTCGTCGCGGCGTCCGGTCTCGTCTGTAGCTTGGTGATGTCCGTCTTGATGGCGGCCACCGTGCTACTGATCGTGGCCGGCCCATTGAAAACACCTATGTCGCCGATGAGCTTGATGACGTGATCGATGCGCCCGTTGAGTTGCTTCGTCTCGTCTGTCGTGCAGCCTGGCGCTGCTGCGGCCTTAGCCTCGATGCTGCTGACGCGTGCGGTGGTGGTGTTCCACAGCTGTTGCTGTTGTTGCTGATGTGTGGCGGTAGTGCGAACARCTGCTGACAAGGCTGCAGAATCCTTCTGYTGAATCTGTTGCAGCTGTCTGCCTKCRTGTATTTGTRCYGCTAACATCGTATTRTTCCACATGATCGCTCRCATCATYGTCAACATCACGTTAGCCAGGTGAGTCCTCTCTGCCTCCGCCGGTGTCGGATCTGCCTGCTCTTCCGAAGGCACAAAGATCATGCCCTCGAGGATCGTTGTCCACTGATTCTCATTATGAATCAGGGATTCCGTGCTGGCGGCATTCCGCTGGTCCCGTGCTGCTGCGTCATCCTCAGCAGTCTGCTGAGCTTGGGCTGCCGCCTCTTTGGCCAGCCGTTGAAGTTCCGCCTCTGCTTCCTCCTGTGCCTTTGCGGTTGATACGGCATCAGTGAATGCCTGTACCCGCTGAAGGTAATCTGCCAACGGCTCACCGGCCTTTTGGACCGGGCATGCGGGAAGAACTCCGGTGGTAACGGGTACCGTCAATGCTGTACTCGATGCCCCTGGAGTCGTCCTGCTGCTGAGTCGCTGAGTCCTGCGTCGGAGAGGTATCACAGAGCGGGCACGCCCTGCAAGCCTGGTGCTGCGTCGTGGCAGTGCCCCGGTGTCTTGTTCCATCGACATCAGTGCTAGCTGATGTGGTACTCGAGAAACCCGGTGGTCACAGAGTACGGGGAGGGTAGGGAGGGTGGGAACAGGCGTAGAACAGTCGAACAATTCGCATACAGTCCCCTGTCCCACTGATGGACTGTAGACACCTAATCAAAACAGAAAATTAATTTTCCCGTAAAGAATTCAAAAATTCGTAATAAGGAATTAATAACGATTTATTTAATCAATAAAATTGAATTAATGATTAATACGAAATAATAACTCTTCAAATAACAATATTTGCAATAATGATGATAATCAATAAACAATGTTTGCAATAATGATAATGAACGAATTTGAATTGTATTTAGATTAGGTGTCTGTTGAGATCAATGATGGTCCGGGAGTTCACCGCAAATTAGTGAACTACCCGGAAGTTGCAGTTTGAGGGTCAGATTCGGATTAGTTTGCTCAAAAAAAATTTTGGGAAAAATTTAGAAGGAAAACCACTCGAAATTTCAAAAACGTGATTTTTCGGGAATTTCCACCGTCAAAATCCGATTTTTAAACCCGTTTTCGGAATTTCTCCAACAAGGGGAACGAAAAAAAAAAATTCGCGAAAATTTCGTGCCCAACCCTAATTTTCCGCGTTTCCGCGAAATTTCCGGTATTACGGTTCCAAAACGTTCGAAATTCCCAAGTTGAGTCGAACAACCAATATTCGTAACCCTAATTTCCAATACTGAAAACAAAAACGGAAATACCAAAGAAAAAACGAAATGTAGGATTTACAACAGACTGCCGAATTCAAAAACGGAATGCTGAAATAGAAAAATCAGAATGCTTTCCACGGATACTGAGTCAACCCTAATCATGTTTTAACCTCGGAAATCCGGACCTAATCAAGGAACCTAAATAAACAGCATACCGAAATGAGACAGAAATCCGAAATATAAGTCCGAATAACGAATTGAAACGGAAATGCCGAAATAAATAGAATACCGAAAAAAAAATAAAAAATTGCAACTTTGAACTTTATAGTAATACAGCGCTGATTTGGAAGATTGAGAAAGCAATCTAATTCCTAACCAGACTTACCTGTGTGAGCAGATCCGTTATATGGTCTGCTCCGATACCAAAACTGTTACATACTTCAATGAGTATGGGCAGAACCAAGGATCAACCAATGTAGGATGAGCATGTATGCAGCGGAAGTCTGATAAACGGACTGACTCACATAGACTGACTCACATAGACTGACTCAAGAATCACTCCACACACATACAATCGTGAGATGATGGGGTCTGGGCCAAGCATGGACGATGCCCAGATCCCRTACACTCATACACAGATGAAAGGKGGGAGGAGAGACGAAGGAGGTGGGGGAGGTAGACAGCACCGGTAGGTCACCGAAATAGAATCCGATAGGTCACCGATATGGTAGTCCAAAATGTCATCCAACAAGATCAAAATGTCGAGGACAATCAGTCACCAATGTCGGAGATACAGAGTCCTAATGTAACCGGTGTCCGAACTGTGATGCCGCCAAGTATCAACCCCAACAATCTCCAAGTCTCCAGTCCGGTAAGTACCACAGTCTCATACCACCGAAGTCCAACACTGATCTCTGTCCAACTGGTATAAGTCTCCAATCTGAAGAAGAAGAAGAAGAAGAAGATGGAGTCTGAAGAGAAGAGGAAGAAGAAGAAGAAGAAGAAGAAGAAGAAGAAGAAGAAGAAGGAGCCGAGGAGGAGAGAGAGAGAGAGAGAGAGAGAGAGAGAGAGAGAGAGAGGGGACTGACGAKGGGAGGGAGGAGAGAACCTCCGGCTCCCTGATACCTCAGGCGGCGATGGCCGCCGGTCTGGCTCAGTCGCCCTGCTGCTGCTCCGCTCGCCGCTGCTGCGCTAATGGTGCGCTGCGCTGCTCCTCGCTGCTCCTGTGCTCAAGATAGCGCCAGCGCTAATGTGCACTGTACCATACCGTACCGGTAGAGTGCCGGTAGGTCGATAGCCTCACTGAGGCTGGACCGGTACCTTTGTACCGGTGGGCAGAGGTCGGCCTCTATGCTGCGAGGCCTGACCGTGCCCTGAACCGTCCAGATGGACGGTTCAGCCCCAACCGGCGGGCGGCAGCCTCAAGAGCGCTGCCAGGCCCAAACGGTAACATCGTTTGGGCCGGCCCGTCGGGTCTGGTCCAAGGTAAGGCCTTTACGGCCTGTAGTACCCCCAAGGTCGGGCCTTTGGCCCTACTGTGTCCCTCTACCCTATGTCGGGTCCGGTAGGACCCGTGTGGCGTCGAAGATGTAACATACGACCTCTACACAACTATGACCCCTACTGTCTTCACCCGTATACAACGTACGGTCATTATAGCTGTATTTCTTACGCAACTAATAGTCTAGATGCAGCAATAATTTCCCTACGTTGTATTCGGGTGAAGACAGTAGTCGACAGACCTACAGATCGAACCCCTACAGCTACACAGACCTACGACAGGCAACAGTCAACTACCAAAACACAGGTCACGGGTTCAAACTTCAAACACAAGGGGTCGACTCGATACTGTACATGGGTGTGGTAAGGTCTAGGGATCGAACCCTGGGATCTGCATCTGCTACTGCTAAGGTGAAGACCGTTTCAGCAGAGACCTTGTGTGCTTTTTAGGTTGTCCTAGTAGGATTTTTGTACACATGCTATCATGCTGTTGAGGGTTTTGAGGCTTTTATGCACCCTGTTTTGACTCGGTGGTCAGATTGTTGCTCGCAGAGGAAGGCATCGGACCCAGGATGGCCACGTCTTTTGCTTTTTCCTGAAGGGACTACAACAAATGGCAGGGCTGTTGTATCTTTCAAGCTTGGTGCATTTCTTTCAGGCCTGCCAATCCAGCCTGTCGTCATCCGGTACCCGCATATTCATCTTGACCCTTCCTGGTAAGGCACACCCGTAATGCTTTGCTCGCTCGCTCCTTACTCTCTCCCTCGTGTTTTGCTTTTCGTCAGTATTCAGTTGTACTTTCTTCAGCGACCAGCACTTTTTTGTCTCCTCTGCCTCTGATCGTTCCCTTGTATCTCTTGTCTCTCATTTTTTCTTCGGAATTACTATGATTGTGCTGGATCGACCCAATCTTTCTTCCCTGACAAGCTTGATCGGTGGGTGGGTGACCGTGGGTCACACAATTGATACGGAAAAAGAGTTGTTTCAAGTTCAAAAAACACGTTGTGAGAAGGCGAGAACACTGCAAAATGATGTCCAACAGGTGTGGCAATGTGAACTTAAAAACAGGGACCACTTGCGTATCATTTTGAGAGTGAGAGCGCTCAAAATGGGCCCTGTCCATTGACAGAGGGGTCAGATGATATCCCGAGGGACCTGTGCAAAAGACAGGTCTCGAAAGGATTCGTCACAGGAGCAGCGTGGAGCAGCTATGGCTGCGCTCGTCTCTCCTAGCAGCAGTGTTATCTTGCATATCATTTTTTTTGGTGGGCCGTTTTCGATGCACAACTGCTGCAGCCCCGATGACCTGCGGCTAAACTTCGCGCCCGATGAGTGGATGTGGCATTCTGCCTGCCTGCCTGCCTGCCACACAAGGCCTTGGTGCTCACACATTTTTGTAGGTGGCGCTTCAGCCGCCTGGCCCTGAGTCTGGGCCTACCGTCTTCACCCGAATAGAACGCCCGGTCCTTATCACTGCATCTAGACTGGAAGTTGCGCGAATATGGCGATAATGACCGGGCATTCTATTCGGGTGAAGACAGTACGAGCGGCGGACAGCGCGCTGGTGTGTTTAAGGTGGCCCGGCGGTCATGATTTTCTCTGTATTTGCATTTTTTGTTTTGTACGTTTATTTTTCATGTTTGCAGGCTCTGTGTCTTTGTCTGACCAGTGTTCAAACAGGCACACTTTGCCTGTTTGGATTCGCGCCGGCCTGTTCAGATGCCTGTTCACATTTTTTGGCCACTAGGTCATAACCCAGTTTTGCCTGAAATTGCACTGGACTCGTTTTTTTTTTTTTGTTTCACGTTGTGGAGAAGCCTAAACGGAAACAGGATCGAAGTATCTTCAATTCAGAAAAGGGTAATTCAAAGAATAGTAGATTATGAAGTAGAAACTTAGGCACATTTTGGCAATCGCACTGATTCGCACAACTACTTCGGACAGTGGATACCTTCTACAAAAAAAAAAATCATTGACTGAAACCTGCTAAAGAGGAGTTGAACAATGACTGATGGGAGCAATCTAGGGCAGGAGGACACTAGGACACATTGTCGGTCGGTCAGCGAATATCATGGGCAAATGCTTGAAAGGCTATGCGTCCGTTCTCTGGATGTTTTCCTGGCTAAATGCAGGAAAACATATGGAGGTCCTTCGGGACATCCGTTGAAATTGGAACGATACAGAGAAAGAGAAGATTAGCGTGGCCCCTGTGCAAGGATGACACGCATAAATCGAGAAATAGTCCAAAACATACAGAGAATGGACGGAAATGTTTGAAATCGCAGTGACTGTGTGCCTGCAACAACAATGTACATGGAAGTTGACGGGAACAGTACATGTAATCTTTACTACTTGTCCTTCAGCAGAAGAACTGTAAATAGTATTATTACTTTTACAGTTTTACTACCGTTGAGATAAATTTGCCCTCTTCCACGATTACCTCCTACATAAATAGGATATTTGAAGAAATTAGTTTGCTTGTTTATTGAAGGATCTGGAGACAAGATAGGAAAAGTTATTTCACTATATTTCTTTCCTGGGATCGGCCCTACAACTAAGATGAGATGCTCGCAGATGGAATGAGTACATTTTTTATACAACCACCAGCTCAATGATACAATTATAACTTGACAGATCAAGGGATTGTTGTTGAAGCCGAGAGCGAAGTCCACGTGGAAGAACCTGAAGTCCATGAACATGGGTCAGATGATAGCCCTGTGATCATCATTTGACAGAAAGTTGAACCTCACAAGAGCTTTTTCAGGATTCTTAGCTCCTGGAGAGCAGCACGCACCAGAAATTGTGATATAATCATCGCTCCCTATGTCGGATCGTACCGAGTGATAGTCAGTGTGAGACGGAGTTGACATGGGTGGGGAACAGAATCTTAATATCACATGGGAGTCCAGTGACTGAAAGTTGAACCTCACAAGGGCTTTCAGGATTCTTATCTCCTGGACAGCAGCACGCGGGATATCATAGTGCACACTTGTCTATTCTCGCCAGAAATGTGATAACTATGTCATCACTTCCCATCTCGGATCATATCGAGCGAGAGTCATTGTGAGACCGAGTTGACACGGAGGGACAGCTTCTAAATGTCACATGTGAGTGCAGTGAGAAAGGTGATCTGTACTTAAGAATTGTCTGACTTTCTTGACCGGTCATGAGTTTTCCTGTTTGCTTTTATGAGGGTGAGTTTGTCTCCCTAATTTTCCGTCTTTTCCTTTTCCTTTTCCTTCCCCCTTTTCTTCTTTTCTTTTTCTTTTCAAAAGGGCGACGGCTTGAGATATCGTCATCGAACTCTGACCAGCCCCATGTAGATTCGGAAAATTATTTTGTTCTGAACTTCTGGTCAACCGGCGGCATCTCAGTTCGAACTTGGGGGCCTGTATTCAACGGTTTGTGGGTGGCTGCAATTAGAGTTCTTGTTTGCAACTAAGCACTTAAACTCTATAGTCCCGATTGTCAACAATAATCGGGGTCCGCCAAAAGTGCTGAACACCTTTCACAGGCTTGCAGCCTTAGCTGGTCGTCGCTGGCGGGAAGGGATACAGTGTGAGACACGTTGTGATGAGAGGCACAGAGTCACAGACTGGGGCGTCGTTATGTGTGTGGCCTTTTTTTAACTTCCAGCGTGACAGCCTGCCAGTGCTAGCATTGGAGAAAGAGCCCTTAAACCACCAGTCCATCGGACCAAAAATCGACAAACCAAAGAATGTTTTGTGCCGAGCCTGCAATCCACGGGTTACATCTTTATTTTCTTTGAGGGAGGCATCGGTAAACTGAAGTGCTGCACCTTCGTGCCAGTGGATGGCACGAAAAGACAAGGGGAAAAAAAAAAAAAGAATAACCAAATCGAGATCAATGATGTCGGGGAAGGCTGTCACTGAGGACATACTCACAATGGCACTTTCCAGAATACATCTGACCACTATTATGGCCAATTTTTATTATTATTATTTTTTTTTTCCTTCTTGTTTTCTTTCTTAGTGCCCTGCCAGCTAGGCAGGGCGTATTACAGGTTCTCAGAAAACATCTTCACTGAGGGCATACTCACACTAGTACTTTCCAGAATGTAGCTGACCAGTATCACGGCCAAATCCAGAATGTATCTGACCACTATCAGGGCCAAATCTTTGCTTCTTTCTTCGTAGCCCAGCCCAGTTCCTCGTTGTTCTCTCACCCCCCCCCCCCCCCCCCCCCCCCCCCCCCCCCCCCCCGGATTTCAATTCCAATAGATCATTGTGGGCCCACCAGCCTTTTCCCTCCGATCCTAAGCCTTGCCTGATCACTGTAGGTTTTGCTACAGTATTCGGTACTGAGGAACATCCACAGTACAGGGTCCGATGGACTGGTGGTTTACTTGGCCCAGCTATCGGCCGTGGGAAAAAAATAGAGGAGAGATGTTTCTAGTCGGATGAATTTGGGCGCTCCTGTAGTTGTCCGTACGTTTCCTAAAATTGTGGCTTGTATACGGGTACGACTTTAGGAAGTACTAGGCGACCTCACATATCACACATAAGCAATGAACTCACAGAGAGGGACAGACGTGCTATTTTACAAACCCACTGAAGCCGTGCTGGGCCAATGTTTAGTAATGATGGCTGTGGGCTGGACTGAGCAGGTACACAGGTGCCCCACTACTTAGACCTGAGCCGATTACGGCAAATCGGCTCACTTGGTGACGGGTTCTCCTGGTACCTTGACAGCCAGCAATGCACGCTAAGCATATCTGACCTGCTTGTATACGGATGTGATTTGCACCATTGCATGTTGTGCTGCTTTGTCGGCATGGGAGATCTGGGGGCCCGGGGGCATTGCTTGATCTGAGGCCTTTGCTGTCAGGATGTCTGAGTTGTCTCGTTCCAGAGTGGGGTCCAAGTTTGTTACACCTGATTTCCGGTGTGGATGCGCAATGTGCATGCGATTGCTCCCCGCTGATCGAGAGCCTGTTTGTCTGTGCTGTCTGCAGGGGTGTTGATATTTCCATGTCAAGCCTTCTATTTCGCATGATGACACAGTTCTACAACATTCTGGAGGTGCTTCAAAATGCTAGAGCCCTCATTTGGTTTCCAATAGCATGCAACCCCATAATCTGCTATGTTTGCGGCTTTTGTTTACGTGCTTGTCTCTACAGGATGACATTGGGAACCTACTTTCAGGTCTTACAGATTGCATTTTTTTTATTTATTTCTTTTAAGATTGCATCATTTCATTTCAGGATGAGAATGGAAGGTATTGGTCTGAGCCCAGTTGTGTCCTGCAGTATCATGTACATGACAAGGGAGGGCTGGAATTTGGTTGCTCATATTCAGGCCCTTGCTTATTGCTGGTCTCCTTTTGTGCCTCTAAGTCCCTTCAGATCATGAAGCACTTGCTTTACATGTGCGGTATAGTATTTTGTGTCTTTGGAGTGTGGTTTTTGATAGTGGAGGTTGCACCATACATGTGGGTACTTTGTTTCACGTTATTGAAGGAAATGCAGGGCAAGATGCGAGAGGTGGAAGCTAGTTTGTCTCTTACGAAAGTCTCTATGACAGTCTATGTGTATATAGAAAGGAACATATCTTTGCATCTCCAAAGCTGTTTGCTTTGAAAGAGTTGTGTATATCCATCGTTTCATAGTGTGAGGAAATTGCATTATTTTCAAAGAACTGAATCATGGTTGCCTTAAAAAAAAAAAGAACCATGGTTGCCCTCACTTTGAGGAGACCCCATGTTGCAGGTAGTGTACTGCACTGTTCTGCCTGGGCCATGTGAGAGACGGAATGCTGTTCGTATAAGGGACAGTTATGTTGTGTAAGCTCTGTACGCCTAATTCTGGGCTCTCTCCAGTTGTTTGCACACCCTTTTTTTAATTTAATTTGGACCATTTCTCGATTTATGTGTATCCTTGCGCAGGGGCCATGCTAATCTTCTGTGTATCATTCCAATTTTAATGGATGTCCCAAAGGACGCACACCCTTTTTTGGTGTAGTATGCGGGGGCTCGAATGCTGGGCGAGCTGGGTACCCGCACATTTTGCAGGCACTGGTCCTCCAGACTGTTTTGGCACCAAGGCATTTTCCACGCTTCAGGCCTTTTCTGCTAATCCCCGATGTCCTGCCTTTTTTTTTCCGCCTTTTTTTTTTTTCCCCTTTCAGAAGGGGGTTAGCCCCTTCTGGTTCAATCATAATTTTTATTATTATTAATTTATTAATAAATATTATTATTTTTTCAATCAGAATTTTAAATTTTAACTCCATGCTCTGATTGGTAAAGTTACATGCATGTGTCATTCAGCCACATTGGGCTGGGTACCCTGGCATTTTTCAGATTTGCCCCTTGGCCATTTTGGCCCCGGAGTTCATTTTCTCCTCTTTTTTTTTTCATTCAACAGTCAGTACCTGTCCACAAGAGAGAGCAAGAGGAGGTTCTTTGTACTTCTTCTTTCTTGAAAATTTGGACCATTTCTCAATTTATAAGTGTCATCCTCGTGCAGCGGCCATGCTAATCTTCTCAGCAGTAGTATTTATGCTTACTGTCAGCTGCACTGTTCATTCATTCTTTTTTTTCGTCCTTCCTTTTTCCTTCATTTTTAAAAGGGCGATGGCCTTGAGATATCATCATGGAACTGACCGGCCCTCTTCGTTCAATCTGAAGTCACTGTGTTGCTAGATTTTAATTGTGCTGAGTCCAGTCCGGTTTGGTCTCTCGCTGTCCTTCTCCTCCCTGCCTCTCACTCTCCAATTCCTGTTGTGTGCGTGCAAGGATCGAGCCTCTCCTTCACTCCTTCCCTTGTCTGACCTCTTTGCACCAGTCCTGTTGCACTGGTATCACAGAAGGCCTTTTCTCCGGCCTGTTTTCCCACCCCGGTCCCAGTACACCAACAGCGATAACTGTCCACTTCTGACGTGCGATTGTCACTTGTGAGGAACAGCTGTCCAAGACCCTGATCACCCTGCCTTCATCGATTTGTGAAAAATCCCGATATGCCACTTCATCTCGAGTATCACGAGAGTCTGTCATCGTGCCTTGCTGTACGTCAAGGCCGTGGCGCTTCTAAAAGAAAGAAAAGAACGACTGCCTTGCTGCAGTTTGAAAGGAGCGCTGTCAAATCCGGTCCCATTTCCAAAAGGAGATTGGTCGGGGCACTACAGACCTCGCCAAACCTTTACACACACCACTTGGTGGCGCTACGTGCCGTGGTCACAGTGGACGTTGCAGCTGCTCACTTCGGGAGCCGTCGAGGGAGGTCATCTGCCTGGTCACACAACCACAGGGGTGCCACGCCATTGAGGGAGAGACCATTCGGTGAAGTGGCCATATTTGCCCCACCCATGGACTGCTTGTCTGCGATGCTGCTTCCATCTCTGGCACTGATGCCTTGTGTGTCAGAGTCTGTCCTAGTAATCACCTCCACTTGAAACGAGATACCATTTGCGATAGTTTGTCGAGAAGTTAAGCAATATCACCCAAGTGGAATCATTCCCCTAAGGCAATGGTTTTTCAATGATAATTTTCTTTTATGAAGCTTTTCATTCATATCAGCATAACCTAGTATGCCCCGAACTTCAGCTTTAACCGAGCCATAGGCTGCTATCCCTTGTTGCATCGTTTCCAAGGCCCCCGCATTCGGAGCTTCTGGCCCAAAGCAGCATCTTAAAATTGCAAATTGTGTGCAGAAATGTATTTCCAGCCTGTCAGGGAGGTTCTGAGCATATTGCTGCAGCGATTTCCATCACAATTGCCAAAGAAGACACAAAGAGAAAAAAATTACGACAATGAAGGTCAGAGTCTCGAACAGTAAAAAACCGCTGACACATACAGCCGAACGAAATCAAGACAGGCATATTTACAGACCACTTACACAAGTACACTCACATAGGAGCAAGTCAGGCCATATTTACAGTCCTAATCTACAGCCCACAGAGAGCAACTGCATTGGCCTGAAAGGGACTCATAGCGCACAAGGTTCTTGCACAGCAGCGGCAGCCTGAATTGTGAAAGATTGCCTTTTGTTCGTTCTTGCACAAGGATTTTGTTCTTTGCTTATGCTCTGTGCGCTGTCATGCAGGTGGAGTACCTTCCTGTCATTGTTCCTACGGAGAAGGAGAAAGCCAACCCGTCAGCGTATGCGGAAAGGGTAAGGAAAGCCTTGATGTTGCGCCTTTTCTGTCACTTTTGGGTCGTGGTCCGGATGTCAGCATGTCACAGAAGCAACTGACAGGTGGTAGCAGGGGAGCAGTGCTGACAGGTAGTGGATGTGAGGTTGCTTACACGGTGTGGCAGCTTGACCACAGTTGGGAGGCAGTGGGAAGTGTTACTAAGTTGCTTAGAAAAGAGGGGATAGGTTCAAGAAAGGGAAGGATCAGGCAGGGAAGTTGGGGTTGGTGTGCTAGTGGGGGAGACGAGGGAGGAGTTGTGGGGTTGTAGGAAGGAGGTAGGAAAGAAAGCTATTGCAAAAGGTGGTGCGAGGGGTTGCCAAACAGCAGTGGGCAAGCTTCAGTGTCTCGTGCGCAAGGGGACTGGAGTTCGATGTGGGGGCAGGGAAATTGGGTGTGTCGAGTGAGGAAGGTGGTAATGGAAGGGGGAGAGGGACAGTGCAGAAGAACAAGTAGACAACCATGATGGGTAGAAAAAGAGGAGAGGATGCAACACTAGTAATGATGCAACGAAACAATCATAGGAATAAAACCATTAAAATGAAAATAATGTTTTGCGTGCTACCATATTCCATTGCTGTTGCCCCTTTTCTTGCCATTTTTTATTTTTTTTTAACAATGGTGCGGGTGGTGATGAGATGGAGGTGAGAAGAGGAGAGGACTGTACAAAGAGGTGACCGCTTTCGTCCACATTGGCCCCATTAGAAGCTGCTGATGTAATACCAGGGAGAAAATCAGGGTCTGGGGACTAGAAGCCTAATCCCCAGCATGGTGTGGATCAGTATGGGGATTAGGAACCTAATCAGCATGAGAAGATGACGGGAAGTAGCAGGAAGGACAAAAGGAGTAGCAGTGGCATAAAGTGGCACTTGAAGATAGGGTGTGGATCACTACGGGGATAAAGAGCCCGATCAACATGAGAGGATGACATGTAGGTAAACGTGAACAGGGAGAAAAGGACGAGAAAATTAGAGAATGTTAGCCTTTGGTAGGACAAGGGAGGGAATGAAGATGAGCATGTTCCACATTTGAATGATTATCCAATCGTTTTTCCTGATTTATCGAATGAATATCTGCTTATTGAGGAAATAATTGTGCTGTGCTTGCAGGTGAGACATGCCATGGCTGAATGCCTCAACGCCCCTTGCACAGACCACACATTTGGAGACGTGCAACTTGGTGTACAAGCCACTCAGTTGGGACTGGTGAGTG